CGAGCGAGTGACAACACTGCAATACACACCCGTAAGAGTGACAAACCACAATACACACACACACACTTCAAGATTAAAAACATGACAATATACTTTCACACACATTCACACACACACACACACACACACACACACACACACACACACACACACACACACACACACACACACACACACACACACACACACAAGAATTAAGGCTCATCTTGGTTCGGTGGAAGAACCCCCACCACCCCCTCTCCGGGGGGATGGAACCCAAGGGCCTCATACACTCCCCCCGGTCTTTGTAGTTCAGATAGCCGTCCTGATCATAGTCGAACTCTTTGAAGGCCTCCGCCAGCTCTGAGAATGACATGTGTGTGTGTGTTATGTGTGTGTAATAATGTGCGTGTTATGATGACCAATGTTCATGAGTGATACTCACCGTCCAGCTCCGGCTGAGATAACTCTCTCTCCTGACAGAAAACAACACACACTGCATATATTAGGGCACGATCATACATTTAGCTTCAGTTGTCATCAAATGATCAAGTCTATTTTTCATCTTTTGTGTGTTTATTAACATTTGCATGAAACACAGATTTTCTGGATTATTTGTAATTTCTGTTATAAAAAAAATTAATACATTTATTCTTTACACAAATCATGACACTGAGACATGCCATTATTCAATATTTAAAATGTTTAGGATACACCAACATTAATTGCATGTCAACTCCATTATTGTCAACTCTGTTAACATCAACTTTGTCATCGGCAACACTGTTACCGTCAGCTCTGTTATCTTCAACTCTGTTATCGTCAAATCTGTTATCATTAACTCTGTTTTCGTCAACTCTGTTATCATCAACTCTGTTATCATCAACTCTGTAATCGTCAACTCTGTTATCTTCAATTCTGTTATCATCAACTGTTATCGTCAACTCTGTTTTCGTCAACTCTGTTACCGTCAACTCTGTTATCGTCAACTGTTATCGTCAACTCTGTTATCGTCAACTGTTATCGCCAAACTCTGTTATCGTCAACTGTGTTATCGTCAGCTCTGTTATCATCAACTCTGTTTTCGTCAACTTTGCTAGTCAAACTCTGTTTTCGTCAGCTCTGTTTTCGTCAACTCTGTTATCATCAGCTCTGTTTTCGTCAACTCTGTTATCATCAGCTCTGTTTTCGTCAGCTCTGTTATCGTCAACTCTGTTATCATCAGCTCTATTTTCGTCAGCTCTGTTTTCGTCAACTCTGTTATCATCAGCTCTGTTTTCGTCAGCTCTGTTTTCGTCAACTCTGTTATCATCAGCTCTGTTTTCGTCAACTCTGTTATCATCAGCTCTGTTTTCGTCAGCTCTGTTATCGTCAACTCTGTTATCATCAGCTCTATTTTCGTCAGCTCTGTTTTCGTCAGCTCTGTCATCGTCAACTTCGTCTTCGTCAACTCTGTTATAGTCAACTTATCGTCAGCTCTGTTATCGTCAACTCTTTTTTTCGTCAACCGTTTTTGTCAACTCTGTTATCGTCAGCTCAGTTATCGTCAACTCTGTTATCGCCAACTCTTTTATTGTCAACTCTGTTATCATCAGCTCTGTTTTCGTCAACTCTGTCATCATCAACTCTGTTATAGTCAACTGTTATTGTCAACTCTGTTATAGTCAACTTTTTTATGGTCAGCTCTGTTTTCGACTACTCTGTTTTCCTCAACTCTGTTTTGATTAACTCTGTAATCGCCAACTCTGTTATCATCAACTATATTATTGTCAACTCTGTTATCGTCAACTCTGTTATCATCAGCTCTATTTTCGTCAGCTCTGTTTTCGTCAACTCTGTTATCGTCAACTTCGTCTTCGTCAACTCTGTTATAGTCAACTTATCGTCAGCTCTGTTATCGTCAACTCTTTTTTTGTCAACCGTTTTTGTCAACTCTGTTATCGTCAGCTCAGTTATCGTCAACTCTGTTATCGCCAACTCTTTTATTGTCAACTCTGTTATCATCAGCTCTGTTTTCGTCAACTCTGTCATCATCAACTCTGTTATAGTCAACTGTTATTGTCAACTCTGTTATAGTCAACTTTTTTATGGTCAGCTCTGTTTTCGACTACTCTGTTTTCCTCAACTCTGTTTTGATTAACTCTGTAATCGCCAACTCTGTTATCATCAACTATATTATTGTCAACTCTGTTATCGTCAACTCTGTTAACATCAACTTTGTCATCGGCAACACTGTCATTGTCAACTTTTATCATCAACTATGTTATTTTCAACCATGTTACTGTCAAAAATGTTACATGTTACTGTTAAAAAGCTTAACAGTAAAAAACCAACAGAGTCACAGAATCTAGTGTTCCCTGTCATATTTAATCATTTAGCAGTATTTTACAGTAGTAATGGATTGTGTTTACTGTAAATTATATATGTGTTATTTATCATTGCAGTTTAAGGACGATGCAGCAGGAAATGATCCCGACATTCTGGAATGAGTCAGATATGAAGGGGAATCTGAGCTCTAGATGCTGATGATCAAGAGTTACTGCAGTGTTTCCCAGAATCAAGACTTGCTTTCTATTCCTTGTTTTCTAGAGAGGATTAAAGTTTCCGCTGTTTGTTCTGGGTCAATCAAGAGTCGCTCTTAATGCTCCTCACTCGTATTCTGCTATACACACTCTTCTGCTTGTGGATTTATTAATCGAGTTATAAAATCATGTGTCCATCATTGAAGACACACTGCCAAGATTCAAAGTTTTTTATCTTTTAATGATGCTAAGAAACAAATAAATGCATTTATGTTCTGTAATGTTTACTGGTGAACACACACACACACACACACATCATTATGCCCACGACACACACACACACACCCGTGAAGTGATGTTTGGTGTTTGTCCGGGTCGTTTATCCGCTAATCCTCGTCTCTGGTGTGTATTATTAGCTGTGATGAGGGTTCAGCGTCAGCTTTCATTTACTCTGACGAGCTTTAATGAGGATTACAGGAGAACTCTGAGCCCTGATTCATGATGTAACACATGTGCACTCACTCACTGTGTGTGTGTGCGTGTGTGTCATGGTGTAAAAGTGAGAGCATGCATACATGTGTGTGAGAGAGAGTTAGAGAGAGAGAGTGTTTGTGTGTGTGTGTGTGCAAGCACGTGTGCAAGATTGTGTGTCAGAGTGTGTGAGCAAATGTGTTTGTGTGAGCGAGAGAGATTGTGTGTGTGAGTTTGTGAGAGAGTGACATTGAATGTGTGTGTGTGTGTGTGTGTGTGTTTGTGTGTGAGAGAGAGTTTGGTCGTGTCTGTGTGTGAGAGTGAGCATGTGTGTGCGTGTGTGTTGTGTGCGTGCCTGCATGTTTGTGCGTGTGAGAGTTTATGAGAGTGTGTGTGAAAGTGAATGTGTGTGCATATGTGTGTGTGTGCGCACATGTATGTGTGTGAGCATGTGTGTGACAGAGAGAGAGTTTGGGCGTGTTTGTGTGTGTGTGTGAGTGAGAGAGAGAGAGTGAGCATGTGTGTGCGTGTGTGTGCTGTGTGCATGTTTGTGTGTGTGTGTGTGTGTGCGTGCTGAGTGCATGTATGTGTGTGTGAGAGATTTGTAAAAGTGAGTGTGTATGTGTACACATGTATTTTTGTGAGCATATGTGTGTTTAAGTGGGAGAGAGTTTGGGCATGTGTGTGTGTGTGTGTGTGTGTGTGATGTACCTGACCGAAGACGCTGTTCAGCAGGTTGGTGTACACCTTGTTCATGGCGTCCTCGTTGGACTTCTTGCTTTTCTTCTTCTTGTTTGCTTCGCCGGGCGGTGATTTGCGGAGGGCGGGTTTGGGGGCGGAGCCATCAGCTGATTGGCTGGATTTGACACTGTCAAGAGAAAATGCAAATGTGAGAGAAACTCGTTAAGCGAAGGAGACAGCAACTAAACTACAACCAAAACAATGACAATTCATTCATAAATCAATAATAATAATAATAATAATAATAATAATAATTCGTTCAGTTTCTTTTCGGCTTAGTCACTTTATTCATCAAGTTCACCACAGTGGAATGAACCGCCAACTTATCCAGCATATGTTTTACACAGCAGATGCCCTTCCAGCTGCAACCCATCACTGGGTTAAAAATAATAATAAGATAATGATAATAATCAATAAAAATATAATAATAATAATTATTATTAATAATAATAACAATAATAATAATAATGATAATAATAATAAATAATAATAAAAAATAAAAGATAACATAACATAACAATAATACAATAATATTAAATGTAAAAAATAATAATGATGATAATAAATAATAAAAATAAAAATAAATAATAATAAATAATAATAATAATACATAATAATAATAATAACAATAATAAAATAATAATAATAATCATTAATATTAATAAAATAAATAGTAATAATAAATAATAACAAAAAAAATAAAAATAACAATAATAATAATAAATTCATAAAACAAAATAATAATAATGATAAATAATGATAAATAATAATAATTAATTATAATATTAATACAAATAATAATAACAATAATAATTCTTTATTGTACTGAGCCTAATTGAGACATGCAGTGAGCCTCAGTTCTTCCTCCTTAAATTAATGTTGATTGTCATTTAATAACAGATGAATGACCGTAAACACAAGCG